AGACGCAGAATTGTTACAGATCCCAGCAATGCTGCCTTGCTCCAGCTCTCCCACTTAGCGAAGAACAATTAAATCCCTGTATTTGCCAAAGCTGCTTCCCTTCCTGGGACCTTTCTTCCCTAGGCTGCTGCCAGACCCAGTGGGCATTCTCGGGTCCAGAAGCCAAGCCTTACAGCACGCTGCAAGCAGGACGAGTGCCTCTGGGCCATGTGGGTGTTGCTTTGTTGCACACGCAGGGCACAAGGACTCCTCGCTGGCACATAGGGCTGTGTAGCTGGGAGTGATGCTGCAGGCACAGACGGCCATCGGAGCACTCAGGGACCTGCAGCACTTCCTTGGCCCTGTGCTGCTCGTGGCGAGGCCAATCTGCAGCCTGAAGGTGCTTTGTTGCCATCTCAACGTCTTGTGGGATTGTGCAGCCACAGCCATATACCCACACTGTTGCTACCACATTGATACTTCTGTAATAAATATCACCACTGCGTTCTCAGGGGCACATGCTTAAGGAATTTAACCGCTGTAATACAATGGGCTCAAGTTGCCAAAGAATGTTTGTGCATCAGTGTGAAATCAGAAATTCGGGGAGGGGAGGCTCTATCTGTCAAAGGGCAGCACCACAGGGCTGGCAGAGCTGGCAGTGGGAGCTGGTTTGCATTCGATACGCATCAGCCCATCGAACACAAACATTCTTCAAAGCACTGCAGGCACAAGCCGGCCCCTTGTGGCCCCCAGCCTGGTCCTTTCTGTGTAAATCACAGAGAAAAAGGACATTGCTGCGCAGCTTGGATTGAGATGAGATGACCAAGCTGTCGGGCCAGAGGTTACCTGTGCTGCCTCTGGGTCACATCGTGCTCCTGGCACAAGCCTGAGCCCATTGCTCTCACCCACCCAAAGGACACGAGCAGGATTTTAGACTGTTTCCTCTTCCAGCGATATGGAGTGATGGTAAAACGTTACAATGATGTAAGGAGACCAGCAGTCACCTCTCAGCACAGCAGGCTGCCCTTCCTTGTGAGCACAGTGCCAATAAGGTGCATCAGGTGCACAAAGCGAACACATTTCGGAGGCTGCTGCCTCACTGCAGGGTCACTGCAGTCCCAGCCCTGGGCCCACACCAGGGCACCATGCTGCCAGGCAGGGCTGATCCCACTGCAGTGCTAGAGGGACCTGGGAGCTCCTGCACTGAAATCATCTGGTTTAATTACAATTATGATACGTGCCTCTCTGTTAACTGTGAATGTTTAAATAGTTTAAAGCAGGCTGAAGGCAGCCCCTGCTGCGTGTGCTCGCAATGCTGTTGGAAGAGCTGTTGGCATCTGAGTTGCATGACACAGAACTGTGGGAGCAACACCAAACTCTGACCCTTTCAAAGCACAAATATTCCAATAAAGGATCCAGAGGACTTTCTCCATGGCAGAGGGAGGCCTGTGGGAGACACCTCAAAGCAAAGCCTTTCTGAGCAGACCTTCCCCTCACGCAGCAGAGCCAGTGTTCAATCCCAATGCACACATGGGATGCGGTCAGCACTGCACAGTGCATACAGCCACCCCCAGGTCCCCCCAGGTCCCCCACACCCGCAGCGTGCCCAGCTGTACTGTAGGAGCTCCTATTTACCAAGAATCATATGTTTTCTGCCCTGGTCCTCACTGTATTCAGAACAGTTACTTAGCTTCAATAAGCCCCTTGTTAAAGCCTTTTCCCTTCTGTAATCTCATCAAACTAACCAAAAGGAGTTTGTTCTGAAATAGAGTCCCATTTTGTAACCTGGCTTCCTATAGGAGATCTCCCCACGCACGCTCGGCCCCTCCACCACAAAAGGGCTCTGCTTGTCCTGGTGGCTAACAAAACCCGCGGTCTGTTTGGGTTAGCCAGCAGGGGGTTAATGAAAAGCCCGGCCCTGGGGACTCCCACCTTATCTGCAATCATGAATTTATTGAAGAATGTGTTAATGTGCTGGATTTTATTCATCAGGGGTCAGGGCTTTTCAAATTCTTCCTCCCGGCTCCCCCTCTTTCCATCCCTCCCCAGCAAGCTCACAATGCTGTTTAAACAAAGGGCTCCCAACACAAAGAGCAAATTTACACAGTAAAGTTTTCTTGCGAGCCCAGAGCAGAGTCTGGAAGAATTCCAGCTTTATAAAGAGAAAAGGGGTGAGGGGAAGAAAGGGGGAAGGGAGAGAGGGGCATTTCACAGAGAATAAAAAGAAATCGAGAGAAGTTCCCACCTCCGAAGCTCAGCACTGCTGCCAGTTAACTCCAATGGGCTACAAACCCTCCAGGGCTCCAGCAGGACAGGGGCCCTCAAAAACCATTTTCAGTATCCTTCAGGGAGGCTGAAATTAATGTGTTAATACTGCCATCCGAAATCCAGCCTATATCAACATTAAATACAGACTGCCAATTCAACAACTTCGTAGAATCACAGAGAGGCTGAGGTTGGAGCCCACCCAGCTCCAACCCCTGCCATTGGCTGGGTGCCCCCCACCTGCTCGGGGTGCCCAGGGCCCATCCATGGCCTCGGGCACCTCTAGGGATGTATGTCTGTGAACCGGTAACATTTGCTGCTGATAGAACGCTGCTGGCCAGAGCACGTGTTTCTCTGGGCTGGTTTCACAGGTGGTGACAACCATGAACCACAGCTGCACACAACGCAGCCCAGTGATGCCTGCGGTCCCACTCCCAGCAGAGAGAGAGGCTGGGGTTGGTGACTAGCAATGTGGGTTTTGGTGCTAAACTGAAATGCTGAGGCACCCCCAGCACTTTCTCAGTTTTCAGTGTTGGTCAGAGCTTTGAGAATTAGGGAACGTGGCACAATCCTGCACTGGTTCACCAAATAGGACCGAAGTGCACATCACCACATTACACCCACTCCAGGTCAGACGTGTGTGCTCAAAGCCACCAACATTTACACACAAGAGCTCCTTCAGCTGACGCCTTTCAGTTCCTCATGGCCACAGCAGCCCCCTCCCAGCCCCTACCTGCAGGTGACGGGGGGTGGGGGATCACGGCACACTGGATCCAGCTGCGCTCTGGACAGATCCCTGACCGCAGAACATACAATGCATATTTTTGGGTCTCCTCCGTGACAAGAATCCCAAAGCCTCATGCAGAAAATAACTCGAAGGACATAATTAGATCAGTTAAATGTCTTGGGAAAAGGAGACACACTGCAGCCAGACTTCAGCTCTCAGCACAAGGAACAACTTGGAGAGCACAGACTGTGAACACCCTCCAACCAAACACTTGCCTCTCTGTATTGAATAAGCAGAAGTCCCTGCCTAATGCTGGCACAGAGGTGGACTTCACCTCAGCACCAAGGCAAGCACCTCAACAGCATCCACAGAGGTCACAGCACAAGCTGCCAGTGTGCATGGCCAGCAGAGAGTGCAGGAACTGGGGAGCGGCCACTTTGTGCCATCCATTAGCACACAGCGAGCAGCGAGCTCCTCCAGACCCCAGCACCAGGTACAGCCACTGTGTGGCCAAGGGGCCATGTGAACCCAGCAGTAACAGAACTCAAGAGATAAGTGCAGCCATCTGAGCAGAGTGAAGTAACCATCATGGCAATGTCTATTCCAGAAGGGGAGGACTGGGAAGAAGCCAGGGGTGAGGAGTGGATGCTCCCTGTGACCAAAGCCACGCACCTGGTCCCACAGGGACTCTAATCACACCAAAGGACACCAGGAAGGCTGGCTCCCCTCTCTGGTTTCTCTCTCAGGATTAAGGGAAGCCCAAACTTACAAACCACTAATAAGTACACCTTCTCCACCCCCCCCCCCCCCCAAAAAAAAAAAAAAAAATCCAATAAAAACTTACAGGTGATGGTTTTGAGCTGAAAAGTTAGCAAAATCATGCACACTTCTTGCATGGCAAGAAGCAAAAAGCTGTGAAACAGCTTACACCTCTTTCATGTGTTGCTCTGCCCCTTCAAGATGAAGAGCACAGTTTGAACATTAAGTGAAGTTCCTCCCCTAACTGTCTTGAAAAGGGTCTCAAAAGTTTCTTCTGTTTTTCCATTTGTGCTCTCAGCATTGCAAAAGAACACAGAGGGATCGTATGGAATACAGCTGGTGCACTGTTTGCATTTTGATGCATTACGTGTGAGTTAGCAGATCCTCATCAGCATAAAGCGCTGCTGCGAAGGCACGGGATCTGCACATGGGCTGCGGGAGATGGGGCGGCTCATCGTTCCATCACACACCAAAATGCAGCACCGCACAGCTTTCTGCATCTCAGTCACAGAGAATGCGACGTTAGAACGGAAAAAACAACCACATGAAGCTGAACAGCTCTTCTGCTTCCTCTGAGTGTGAAAGACAAGTAAGGCTGTTCCCTCGGTTCAGAAATGCATTCTGACATTGCCTGGCTGCCCAGGTTACTGCTTTCTCGTAAGACATTTTTCCTGACGGAAAGGATTCTTTGACAAATTCACAGGAATGTGAAAGGATTAAGAGTATGAAATCTGAATAACAGAGATGGAGGGATTTTTAGACTCAGTTGTAGCCTGTTTACTTTTTACTCACAGAATTGAGCTCAAAATCTTGCCTGAAGAAGTTTTGTTAAGGATTCAGATCCCGGCTGACGCAGGGAAGGAAGAAGCTTCAATACATGCAGAAACAGTCAGCAAAGCCCAGCAAACACTAGGAGAAGGGATGCTCCCTCCCTGGAGGTACAAGGCCAGGCTGTGAGCAACCTGGGTGAATGGGAGATGTCCCTGCCTACAGCACAGGGTTGGAACCAGATGATGTTAATGTTCCCTTTCAACCCAAACCATTCCATGACTCTAAGAAAACTACACCTTGTTGCAGTAACCTGGCTCTGGGTGAAGCCGTACCACTGAGGGAAGCCAACTGTTAGAGAGGACCTCCCACATTCTGCTGAGATTTGTTCTGACCATCACGAGGCCCAGGGTTTACCTACATGTGAACAGCATCATTTCCATTCTTCACATTCTAGGGGAAAGCAGGAGTTACTGCAAAAATCAAAGAACATGGCATGACATATACAATAGCCACCATTAACATCATATTTATTGTTATTTAGTTGCTCAGTAAAACATATACAGTTATGTACAATATGCATGAATACAGAAGACTGCACTTTACATATTTAAAAAAAAAGGAAAAAATAACACTCAGTTTCATGAGCTATTGTCACAGTCTTCCAACCAAGCATTTAAGAAATGAATTTAACAAGAATCCCAAAACAAAAAACAAAAAACAAAAAAAAAGAAGAAAAAAAAGAGTACAGGATTGCCTAACACACAGCAGAGTCAAGTTTCCATATTTTACATGTGCAATAACATCTTTCAGAAGAGTTTGCTATGCAGTACGGATTACCAGTGTTTTGATTTTTATTTATTTATTTTTTTCTTTTCCATGAACCAAATTCGGTTTAAAGAAATCACATCCTTTTGCTTAAGGCTGTTTTAAAGCTGTAATATTCTTGGGTAGTGAATAGTGATAAAGTTATAACTGCCGGAAATCACAGCCTGCAGTTTCATCAGTCAGAATCTATGAGTGGGATGGACTCAAACCAACAATTTTAATAGAGAATTTCTAAGACAAAATTAGACTATTTCCTCCATTAGCCTTAAGCAATAAAGGAGAAACAATCCTATAAAAATGGGTTATGCTCTTATACACCATCCATCGAACAGCTGTGAATCCAGCATTTGAGACAACCTCACACTGCAGCTTCAAAAAAATACTCCAGATGTACCCATTCTTTCTGGGGCTTTTTGTCTGCTTTCCCCACCTGCCTCCCACCTCCTCTCTCCTTCCCAACAGCAGAGCCAACGCACCACGTTTCAGCCTCCCATGACCTGTAGGAGCCCTGTCCTATGTGACCTGTAGGGTGGCATGTCCTTCTTTAAGGGACATGCCAACATTTGGCCTTGCTGGTGGTGCCTGGAAGCTGTGGGACTGATCTCCTGCACTGGAAGGGCCAACCAGCCTCAGGTTGACGATGCCTGAAAGCAGTATCCAAGAAAGGGTCCTCAAAACGGACCTGATGGCTTCGATGCTCATTTCTTCCCACCCAAACACACCTTACCTTTTTGATGAAGTTCCCTGTAACTAAATAAAAATGAGCCGAGGCCCTCCCTCACTGAGGCTCTAACAGCTGAACCAGAACAGCAGAGAACTTATGAACCCCATGAAAAAAAAACCCTGGAGAAAATTCTCAGGAGTGTTTCATAAATAGAGCCTATTCCATCCTTTTTTCTTGGCCAAAAGACATCACTCCTCCCAGTTAAAATGCAAAACATCTATTTCTCAGTTTGCTACCACGCTTTAAGTTAAAGTACAGATTTTCTTTTAACATACACCAAGAAGGACCAGCAGACGGGGCCAGGAGGAAATGGAGCCTCCAAGGCCAAGAACCAGATGATGGGCAGCTGCCAACCTCCCAACTCAAGCAGCTCCTACAGCATGGGGCTGTGTGAGAAGTGAAGATGCTGGGCAAGGCAGAAAAGGTTTTTCAGAATACAAAGGCTGCTCTGAAAGTAATGCCTCCTACTTATTCCCATGGAAACTACAACAGATACAAAGAGACAGATGCACTATCTGATGGAGCAAATTCTCAACTTCAAGATACTATTTTTTCGACAGGGGCACCACCATTAGCAGTGCATATTTGCCAGTGACGAACAAGAATCTGCATGCCACGCTCATCAACATCTCATTGCCAGCAGGAGTGACCCATTGCTGCTGTGCCGAAACTCACCACCCACTGTGCTCATATCCACTGCTGGGTCTCCATAAACGTTCAGCAAGCGTCAATGAGTGTCAGTGGGGGCCATTTTTTCCACATGGAGGAATTCCATTCCACAGCTTTTCTTCATATGCACTTCCATGTCAGACGTCATTTGTCAGCCTGCCCCTCTGCTGCCATCTGTCACACAGCAGCAGAATTAACGGGATGTTTGTGGAAGGTCCAACCTCTGCTGCCGTACCAACTTCCACCTCTGATGGCACAGGCCAACATCATAACACTGGAGGCATTACTTTCAGAGCAGCCCTCTTAAATAAGAGGCCATTATTTTAGCTATGGTGATATTTTCTATATGTTTTAAAAAAAAGAGAGTGCATTCAGTGTTAAATTAATGGAGAAAATGAGAACAGTAAAATTACCACAGGCAAAGCAAGCTTTGTGTCAAAGCTCTGGCACGTGCTGTCTGTACCAAACACACCAGGCTGTGGGCATGAAATTATCCTTGTCTTGGCCAGCATATGTACCGATTCTGTTCTGATCTTTGGCAAAAAGAAAACCATAGAAATGCACACCAGCACTGGCATTGCTGCCACCTGCCCCAGTATAGAGCTGCCACCTCGTCCTTTTGCTCAGTCGCTATTGTCACTCGAGTGTAGCGAGATTGAATGTACAGAAGGTCAGCAGCAGGACTGCACTTAACTGTATTCTTTAGTAAAGCAATACGGACAGTAAGGCCCACAGGAAGGCTGACCACTCTTTCTAAAGCCTCGCTACCTGCAAATCCTATCTGCCCACTGCTCCCACTGCACAGCTGACAGAACGGCCCCAGTGCAGAGACCCCATCCTCTCTTCATCTCTTATGATTTAAAACCCTCAGAATTCTGCTGTTTTTATGGGCTTGTTTCCAATTTGTACTCCTATAACCAAGTGGAAAAATAAGTCCTCAAGGAATGAGAACAACTCCAGGATAGAAACAGAGCTGCAGAGAGCAAACCAGAAAGGAAGGATGCTGAAGACCAATGGAATCAATGCATTTCTACTTACAGGAGGATTTCTCTTTAAAAGAGATTTGAAGCGTTTGATCCAGCATTCATCGAAAGGTCTCTTCCTGGTAGCACAGGGTGTGCATCCCTGACCTGAGGAAGCCTGAAAAACCTGTTCTCCTGAATGCAGCAGGAAAAACTAAAAACAAAGAAGCAAGCCATCAGGCCTGAGCGATGGTACAGGAATGCCATCAGACCATGAACTCTTCCTAAATTTTTAGCTGTAAGTGCTGAAAGACAGTATCATATGTCCAGGCATGTGCTTTGCTGGGTTTACTCCAAGACACACCTAGCTTGAACAAGTATAAGCTGAAATGAAAAGATGAGAACTGAGGCCCTAATCCACCGAAACACTCTTCCACGCTTCACTGGATACAGAAGTCCCACTCAGTTCAGCATATCCTTAAGTGATTTGCTAGACTGCATTTAAAGTTGAACACGTATTTTAGTGAACTGGGACTTAACAAATCACAGGCAAAGAAAGGTCTTCCAGAGTGGCCAACGATAATTGTTATTCAACCTGGAGACATTTTATTGCAGGTCCAGGGAAAAGCTCCAAACTTTCAGTAGCACACACCTAAAAAGGTACAAAACGTGGCATGTTTTGCTTCCAAACCAAGTGTGTGAGGTGGTTCCAGTGAATTGCTTCAGCATAGGCAAAAATCCCCACCCTAGTGACAGCTCCAGCTTCAATGAAAAGTAAAGTAATATTAAAAATCAAGGCCCCAAACCCTCCATTTTTCCCAAAGTCAAGTCACTGACCACAGCCATAATGGGAAATCAATCCATGCATGGTTAATAAGAGCACATTCAAATAACAAGAAATCCTGCCTTCCAAAACACTGTGAATCATTCTGAAGCCATAAATGATCAAGAGTGAGAATTTCAGACAGTGCTGTGGCCATTAGCATTGTAGGCAGAATTCCCTCCCCACTGATGTCTACTGAGAGCCAGACTTCAAAATAATTAAAGGCCCGGCACAATCATCTAAAAATACAAAGCAGTCTTCAAATTCCATCCCTCGAGAAGGGACACGTTTTGTGAGTTCATGAGAGAAGTAATGAACAACTCTAGAGAGGCTGACTCTTATTTCATAGCAAAAACGTAACTCCCCAGCGATGCTACCGAGCTTTGGGGAGCAGAGGAAGCCAGGCTGGCCTGAGCAAGGGTGGGACTGCTCACACTCCCTGTAAACAGAGGATATGCAAATAATAGACAGCATTACGTAAAGCCACAGGAGTGTCAGATCATCGTGTCATTTGTGTTTTTATCTGGTTTGCTTCCAGCTTTCTTCTCCAATGAGCATTATCTACCGAGACCAGGAAAGCGTGGTTTTCCTTTTATTGTGTTCATCTAATAACAGCGTTCTTCACATGCATGGCAAAAATGGAGCCCAGCCTAAGTTTGGAAGGGTCTAACCTGGGGTGTCCCGGTCCTGGCCGATCAGGAAGTGCTGACCTTGGGCACATGGCCCTTGGTGCAGGCTGTCTCCAATCATCCACTTACTGTGACCACACTGCCACCAGAGCTAGGGTGGTTCCTACAGACAAGAGCATCACACCTCTGATCAACAGCATCTTCCTTCAGCTATAATGGGGAAAAATGGGAGCTGTGCTGCCGTGCGGCTTCACAGTGGCTTTGGGAACTCCAGCTGGATGCTGGGCCCAGACCCAACCTAGCAGAGGGCACTGCAGTAACCCAGCCCCATAGCAGAGCACAGTTGTTGGGCCAGGACACTGCTCTGCAGGCTACGAGCAATGCAGAAGGGGCTCAGTGCCTTTGGGGATTGTTTTTTACTCCAGCAGTTATAAAATAAAATGACAGCTCTGGGAACACCACAGGAACACAACATGCCTGGGAACATGTGCACCCCTTGCTCCTCAAAGTGAGAGGCAGAGGAAGAAAATGCTGCTGCAACCTGGGTGTTTGGTGGAGGAGATAACAATTATTCGTTATTAGGTAAACTTCCTGTTAGAGCTATTTAGGGAATCATCTGTGTGCCTTCCCAGGCCATGCCTGAACCAGCCCAGTCATGACAGAGCTCCGTATCTGTGTTTCACAAAGGCAAACAAACAAACCCCTGTCCTCACCTCACAGAGAGATGGGGAGCAAATGAGGGAGGGAGGCGCAGGCTGAGCATTATTCATAACAAACCTTCATTTTCTGAGGAAAAGGATCGCTGCCTGAATGTTCAAAAGAGCATTAATCGTTTGGTTTGGATGTGACTGGCAAAAGCTGGGTGTCAATACATAACATAATGATGACAATTTCATTTAACCGGCATTTATTCCTGAACTGCTGTTCTTCAGGATTAACCATCGTAATAAGCATTGAGCAAAGCAAAACAAAAGAAAAAAAAAAAGCAATGAAGAAAAGGAGGAGGAGAAGTAGCATCTTTGTCTTATTATGACATACGTGACTTGGACATACGCTGAGATGAAAAAGGAAAAGGCTTCATCTATAAATGTATGCCAAGATTACAGAATAATGGGAAAACGTGGTCTAGCAGGAAAATCTTAAGCAAAAGTGTGCTAACTGCAGAAGGGTTAACACTGGTAACATACTGTGGCAGAAGATTAAAAAAAAGTTGAGGTTTACTTTAAATTAACCCTTTCCAGTCCATATGCCACTAAGCAGGTACCAACCTAGAAAAATAGTCCACCTAGCAGTAGCGGCCCTTTGAAATTAAAAAGAGAAAAAAAATAATTTCTTTTGTTCAAGTCAGGGCGGCCACAAAAGTCCCAAATCTGTTGGAGATGTCCGAGTGCAGGGACCTCCATGTCGGCACCGCAGTCCGGCCCTTCGCCTCGCCCACGTCGTCCGTGCAGTGCACCGAGAGGCACTGCAAGTGGCTGCCAGTCTGCGCCGCGGCCGACGTCTTGCTCGGGGGAAGGTCGTGGGCTAGAAAGGGTTCACAGAGAGAGCGTTATGAGAACCGTGCAGTGCAACATGCCAGCGCTCACAGCACACACTGACAGCATCCCAAAGCAAGCGGGATGGCCCTGCTTACTGCCCCCTCCCCGCACCGCGTCCCCGTGGAATTCCTTGCTCACTCCTCTGCATGCACTGTTTAAAGCAAGCTTTCAGCGTGTCCAAATGTCCTGGATTTGCACAGCTAGCTATGCAGGTTCTGTTGCACACCTCAGTGTCACCCACCAGCTCCCAGCACCTGAGTTGTTCATTCACCATCTCCTACGGAACAGGATTCCCTATTCAGCTCTTTTAGTGGAATACCATGATGGCACACTCTTCCTCTCTGAAATCCATCTATTCTTGATCTCTCCTCCACTGCTCTTAGTCACATCATTACACACAAAACAAAAAACCCCAAATTTCAGCCCTCGCCTTGTAAAATCTGCACATTTCCCTGTGCATCCTTCCACGGGGTCCATTCCACAGCCCTCCAGGTGGGACACACCATGACTGCTGGTGGCCTGTTCCCTTCTTCCAGGCCATGCCAGCATGATGGCAAAAGAAAATGCTCTTGAAGATAACGGTCCCAGGAGCACCTCAGTTGCTGTGGTATCCGAGCCACGCCAGCAGCCTCTACCAGGAGGGCTTCTGTGGGACCAAACACTGCCAGTAAACGGAGCAACAGCCCGAGTCGGGGCCAGAGACAGCATCCTGACAGGCAGTCTGCATTTTCTCTATTTCACCACTGCATTCATGTTCACCCAGGGGATGAAGAGTTACGAGCGGCACAAACAGGCCCCACAGTTCTGCTCCGACAGACCCAGAGAATCTGGCTGGGATGAAGACGATGCTGGAACACAGCACAAATGCCAAGAAATGTTTAACCTCATTACCTCGAAGACTTTTCTTCACGTCACCCTTGCAGAGCTCCTCCAAACTCAAGCAATGTGGCTTCAGTGCACATATGGGGTGACCACAGCTGTTCCACTTCACCTACTGCTTCACCAGATACTGGACAGGAACCCCACAGCTCTGGTGCCCCATGTTAGAGCATCTCAGAAGATACTCTTGAACGAGTCTGGAAGTCCCCGATTTCAACTGGAAATTGCTTTAAGTACTCAATTATAGGATGTCAGAAATGTTCTTATTCAAAATGGTATCATAGCACCATGCAGAGAAACGAACTGTAAAGCTGTGTTACGCACCTCAGCTCAGCACAGCAGCATTCAGGGTTCACATTTCTGTACAACATTCTCAATTACTGCTGTAACAAAAACCAGCAGCTCAAAGGTGTTTTCTAAGCTCTATGTCCTGGAGTTGGCTTTGGACTTCCTCGTCAGTTTTGATAAATGCACTGTACCAACCAGCACAGCTGGAGCACGAGCAGCTCCCCATGCAATAACCAAACACACACTTCCAAAGGCTGCCTCAGCGCATCCTTTGCTCACACACTGACTTCTGCTCTTCTTTCCTGCTCCCCACATTCTCCTCACACCCCAGGCCTCCCCCTGCTCCCTGCACCGCCTGCTGCTGCCTCTCTGCAGAAAAACAACATCCCCACCTCCCTGGGGCTGTGCTCCAGCCGTGGCCCTTCACACACCGCTGACACACGGCTGCAGAGCTGGTGTGCTCACATCCTGCGGGCACAGCAGCCCTGTGCAAGGCAAGGACTCCCCAGTACGTTGTTAACAGAGATGAGCGAATCCCTGGCTGTGATTGTGATGCCACTTCAGGGAAAATGCAGAGCAAAGAGAAACAAAACAAAACAAACCCCTAAATAAATACTGCGGGGAATTGAGAAAGGGAAACGTTCTTCTGATTTGTGGTTGTTCAGATCCCTTGCAATGCACAGTACTCAGTATTTTTTTTTTCATTCTTAGGTCTCTCTGAACATACAGGACATGCTGGTCTCAGTACAGGAAAAGCCAGTGCCTTGAGATTAGTCTTCGTGACAGCAGCTTTCTTCCTCTGCTGCAGAAAAAGAGGAAAGAGCACTGCTTGCAAACTGCTGTCACAGGAGGCCCAAGGATATCTGCAGTGGTTTAGCAACGAGCATTTACTGTAGGATGCAAGAGACCAGCCCTTCAGCTGGGAGCACAGGTACACTGACTGCAATGGCAGAGAAAGCACATCCCTAAAGCAGGCACCGTGCCTCACCCGGACACCAACAGCACCCAGAGAGCACCAGCTCCTCGACCAACAACCAAACAAGGCAGTAAAAGATATGCTTCAGCTCAGCATCACTGTGTAAGGGCTCACATTGTCTTGGTCTATTGCTAAGAGTGCAGAAAATGATGCACACAAATTCAAAGTAAAAAGGAAGACAATGAGGGCTTGCAGGAAGGCTCATAGACAACACGGTATAAAACATTCCCACCAGATTATTTTTTTCCAACATTTCTGTGTTGGCAAAGCTACGACGCTTTTCTGAAGAAACCTTCTGCATTAAGAAACAAAAGTTGCTCTGATCCACTTGATGAGAATCATGTTCTTAAACACGAGAACTGCCTGATGCTCATTCAAAACAGTACGTTCTCCCAGCAGATCTGTTTCACTAGCTTCCCTTACTGCTTCTCTGCCTCATCCAAGACAGCAATGTCCCAGCACCTGCTTTATGCAGTGCACACACTCCTGAGGGCTGCTGTTAGCTGAGACCAATGGGACCCAGCAGGTTAAAATTAGTCGGATAAAGCAAGATGGTGTCATCACTTCATTGCCTCGCAGTTGCCAAATTTCAGATAAATCACTGTCAGTCATGAAGTACACCTAATTGAAAGCAAGGAATTTTTAAACAAATGATGTTTAAACAATTTGCACAACTACCTCTATCAGCAAATACCACTAGAAAGCTGGAAGCGTTATTATTAAAAGCAATACTCTTCTAGTGAGAGCCACCCTGCATGCTAAAGCCCTAGAGATGGTCTGGATGGAGACTTCTTATCCAAGCTGAAGGATATGACATGGCCAAAGCCAGGACAGGTGCTGGTACAACCGCCCAGAAGCGCTCAGGGCCAGGTTGGATCGGACCCTGAGCAGCCTGAGCTGATGAGGGCAGCCAGCCCATGGCAGGGGGTGGAACTGGATGATCTCTAAGGTCCCTTCCTTAAGCCACTTTGAGATTCTATCATCACAGGACAGTGTGTGACACTTGAAAATGGCTCATTTTGCTGGCAAATGTTGAAGTAGATATAAAAGTTAAAACAGTGCACACCATATTCACATGGAAGGGATAAGTACAAAAGCAACGAAGCGTCCAAAGACTGAAAGGCATCTGGAAACAGCTCAATCATCACTGTATCCTCCTAGAAAAAGCTCTGATAAGCGCAAGTCCTGGTAGCAGCAACCTCCATGATTCCTTTATGCAATGATGTCTGTTAAATCCGCCACCATAAATTACCTCCTTGTTCCATTTTGTATTTATTTCAACTCCTCTGTCCACAGCAATACTCTTCTAGAGCATTTCCCTGCATGTTCTTTTGGTTGGTAATTCCTTCAGTCTGGAGAGGGGCAAAACCCACCCAGCTGCACCCATTCACCACCCTGGGATGGCACTCACTGTCACCCAGAGCAATGGAAAAAAGCTACAGCAGTTCTACATCCAGTCACTGCAAGTATCGAGCTAAAATTTCTAGCACTGGAAACAATTGCTTCCTTTTATCTTGATTATAATATTCCATCCTCCCCATTACCCTGTGCATAGCAACAACCCATGCTCTGTATTTCACAGGAAGATAAAAATGAGGAAAAGAAAACCCACCACAGCCGTGTATCCCAACCCACTGTGCAAAACTGCTCACAGCAGAGAAAACTCCTGCAATAATCACTGAATGCCCTGAAAGTAAACGAGGTTTGATTAATATTACTAACTCAGCTTGCTCACAGGCATTTCTAAAAGCCAGCTACAACATCTGGAAGAGTTGGGTGACTATGGCAAGAAACATTTGCAAACATTCATTTGAACGTTGAAGTTAAGTCTGGTCACTTTCACACCCCTGACACGACTGCTTTCTGCCAGTACTGTCACAAATTAGTTTATTGCAGTTCAAACTGTGGGATCAAGGAAAATATTCCAAAGTATTCTCTGAATAGTTTTGTGGGATTCATCTGTTAGAACACACAAAATCAAATATAAGAATTGCATCAACCAGCTACGACAAAAATGCCATGCTCCTATATTTACAGAGGCGTATGCATGCACAGACAGTTTCACATTCCTAAGTGCCTTTAAAAGTTTTTACTTTAATATTAAAGCTCGCTTTTGGGCAGAAACCATACAAGCTTTCAAACAGGCTTTGCCCACACAAACACATTTCAATCTCCAAGTCCTAAAACAAACAAACAGAAGCATAGCACTGTAAGGAGACTCTCCCCCAGCCTTCCCCTGTGCCCCTCTACCCTCTCACTGTGACCTTACACATTTAGGAAGCTGCTCTTTCATTCTGCTCTATTTTGCAAAGGCATGCATGCATTCAGAAAATAAAAGGTTTGTTTGTTTGTTTGCTAAGTATTAATGAAGGAATGGTAACAGACACATGAGGAGCACTGCTGCTGTCACATGCACCATTAGTAAAGATACAGGGAGGAAGACAAGCAGTCCTTAACAAAAAAGAAAAAAAAACAAACCACACACAAAAAATGCAAACACTGCAGACAGGTTTTTTATATCAGCACGGGAATAACATGCTTCCCTTTACTGAGATTAGATCCTGACACACTCCTCAGTCTTGAAGACACCACGTATACGTACTTCCATTCCTTCTCGCTCCCTCCTTAGCCCATGTTAAGCTGCTCCTAATATCTCTTCCACCAGGTAGCATCTTCATCTGCATTTTTTTAAACATCAACATCCTCTTAACTGTGACAACCCCACCAAACTCTACAATTGCAGATGTGTCCTGACTTTTAGGTAAGCTAATCCCATTAAGAGCGAGTTCACCTGCAGTGCTAGAATGCATTACACGCATCATCCTGTGAGAGATGAGATTACT